ATGCAGGGGCTCTTTTTCCTGTTTCTTCCAGGTGCACCCACTTGAGAGCATCAGGAGGACCAGGAGCCTGGGAAGCACAGCTTGCACTTCAGCTGTCATTTTCTTCCATCAATGGAAAGCTGCATCTTCATTGCTCCCAGGCCTTGTGTGGAGAGAGCATCCTGGCTAGCACAATAACCGAGGTCATAAACAAGATCAGTGCTGAATAAGCCTTTCCTTGCCCAGAGACCTTTGTATTTGTGATCAGCAATAAAAGGCTGTACTGGAATTTAAAATCTCAGCCAGGTAAAATGTCAGAGATGATTATTTAAAGGCTTTAAATAAAAAAAAACCACTCTGGCTGTAAGAATCAGCCTTTTCACATTCATATTGTATGGCTGTGGACTCATACCTGGGTTATGAAAGAAGCCCAAAATAAAATGAGATGTAATAAAACACAAGCTGAACTTAAGCAAGGATTGATTTCTGACAGTAGCTGCAAGTGTTTTAAACAGTAACTGCATACCCACATATTTGCAAGATGTTAATTGCACAATTCCCAGTGATTTAACATCGCAAGAATTAACATACTTCAATGTTCAGGATTTCAGAAACTAAGACAATGAGAAACTTCAGTTGACATAAACATGATTCAAAGAAAAGAATGTGTTTTTTTCTAAAATAAGTCACTGGCAGCAGATGACTGACATCCTACATGTGCTGAATATACCCTGTATCTCCAAGCTCTTTTGCTGTGAATTCCTTTCTATGCTGTATTTCTATGATCCTGGTTTTAACTCACAAGACGGGAACCACAGAAAATAGATAAATAAATAAGAAAACTTGTCAGATATGCCTTAACCCACTTAGACACATACAAGCCCTGAAAAATAAAGAAAAGATCAATATGAAAGAGTGGGCCAGAACTTCAGATGGGAAGAGCCAACACAGGGAGCAGAAGACATTTGTTAGCGAGGAGTGATGTGGAGGAGCTCAGACTATAGTACAAATAGGTATATACCTATCCAAGTACTTAGGAAGACTTGAGTTTCTGCAACTAAGAGGCAGAGGACATTCTGAAGACCAAAATCTTCATCAATGTCACTGTTCACAAACAGAATCTTCATTTTTAGACTTTTGGTTGAATCAATATCCAGTTGTTCAAAATAACACCATGTGCTCTTCGAAAAGAAGACATTGCACTGCTAATTCCAGATAAGTAAAGCCTGGCTTTACTTTGTTTTTGTCTGGAACATTATCTCACTCAAGATTATCTTTCATAAATACTGACACAAGCTACAGGGGCTTTATGTTATTTCATAAAAAAACTTTTTTCTTTTCTTTCTCTTCTTCTTTCCAAATTATACCCACAGGTCCAACTGATACTTTCAATTGCAACAACAGGCAGCCAGACAAGAACAGTACAAGAAATTTTATCTTAAGTATTTATTGTTATGCCAGAATATCACTCAGTTTCCTCTGGGGTAATTCAGCACTCCTGTGGGAAATATGTGACCTCATTTGCATTTTCTAATTGAATTGCTATCAGGTTTCCTGCAAGACTGAACAAAAAAAGTTCCCAGAGTTACTAACATCACTTGTATTAACCAGGAAAAAAAGTTTATGTTCAAGTGCTTGCTGGGGAGGAGGGAAAACTGTATGCTTCATGTATCATAAAATACATTCAAAGAATATTTACCTACTTTGCTATCATTTCCTCCTACTAGCATGAAACTTTAACATAGCAGTTAGACTTCCTTCATTACAGAGGTTACCACTGAAAATGTGCAGGTCTGCCCCGGTTATACAGTCACCTTTAGCAGTTAGCACATTTATAAGGCCAACACTATGAAGGACGGGAAGCTGTTGTCCTACTGGGTCACTCACCATTAAAATGTCAGCTTGTGCGAGAGTAACAGCACAGTTGTGGGAGCTCATGTGCAGGTATTGACACCAAACCCTCTGATTTTGCAATGACAGCAATGTTGATATCCCCACAGGAACCACCCTGAACTCATCTGCCACCCTGAAAGCATGCTGGCCACCTCCGAAGCTCTCCCAGCCCATTACGGACATTTCCAGTCTTACACAATGCGATGATAAAGGATCACAAATCCAGAGGCTCATGTATTGAGGGGTTTGTCCTCTGTGCCCTCCTGGGAAATAGACCGCTGACTCCACTTTGCAGGCAGGCTACAGGAGACTGGGTTTGCTCCGCCCAGAATGCACCAGGAATTTGCAGCAGAGCAGGGACCTCACTTCTGGTCCCCCAGGACCTCAGCCAGTATCCCAACAATGTTGACTTCTATAACATTTATTCTGTATTAACCTTCATAATAAACCAAATGTCTAATAATTGCTATTCCAGGAGAGCTAATCATTTTCTCATGAAGCTTTAATCCACGGATAATAAGGAACAAGATTTTGATTTATCCTTTCAGAGGGGATTCAGAGGGGTAGCACACAGTGGGGCTGCTCTAGCTGAGGGCCATCAGTCATGGAGAAGCCTACAGGAACACAGAGGGTGCTGAGCAAGGCAAAGGACTTGTTTGTGCTGACAGGGATCAGCAGGTGCACTAAGGCAAATTTCATGCCAATTATTTTTAACGGCTGGGAACTGTTGGGCATTTTCACAAAATCAGTCACAAATTTACAAAGTGAAATGGAAATGGAGATATGTGCCAAAACAGAGAGATGGTCTCTCTCCCTCTCAATCCCGCTCCCACATCACCTCCACCCTTCTCTCCCATATTTGCTGTCTACACATCCTGAATATAACACAATACTCTAAAATGCCTTTTTAAAAACTACGTATTGAATCATATTACACTATACAAAACCAAATGTGAAATCCGTTTCTAGTAAAAGCCATGACTATATAAGGGTCATGGTCTGAAACGTGTTGAACTGGATATTGTTAGGTTTTGATGCTTTTTTTTTTAGCATAAACACTATTATTTTTAAAGTAATCTCATAACCACATTTATTTCTTTAGTAAACAAAGGATTATTTTGCTTGTGGAAAGCAGAAGCATTTAAATAAAACACAAGTCAGACGCCTGCCATAGGGACCCAAAACTAAACTGCTTATGACCTTGTCATTAGTCTTGTTTTCCATATTTTTCCAGCCTGAAACTATACACTAATAAGGCTTTTAGAAAGGAAAGATATGAATTTTAAAAAGCTTAGTTCTTCCTATTTTCAACAGAAGAAGAGTTCAGCTTACGTTAACGTTAGCTCAATTTCCAACCAACTATTTTACTGAAACAGAACTATGTGATTATTCAGTTTTCACTTTGCTACACTGAGGAGGAATTTAAAGCGGTAGATAAGAGATCTTACTTTGTTCCTGCAATATTTAATTACTTTTAGAAGAAAGCGGTATTTCTTTGGTTAGTAAATGCTAAATTCAGTTGACATAACATACAGGGCTTAATTATATCTTACAAAAGCCAGAGCCTTACTGAAGAGCAGCAGAAGTGTGTTTATATGACCCTGAGCCATTCAAAACCTGAGAGGTCAGCCCACGGGGCTACTGGTAGATTTAAGTTTCTCTAAGTCTTTTCCTTCTTGTCTCACATGTGGCAAAAGTCCTCCCAAATGGCACAGACACACATGGCCGCATTCTGATAATATGGCACAGAAAGTCTCTCCCTCTTTCCCCATCCTTTCTTGCCCTGCCCTCTCTGCCCAAGCACTGCAGAAAAGCAGAAAGGAGAATCGAGTCTTGCTATTTTGACACTCACTGTGGCTTATTAATCCCAATTACGGTCATGGCCAAGTGACCTTGCCTGTCCCTGAACTAGTCATGGCTGTTAGCCAGGACACACACCTCCATTCTTGCTTTGCAGGTCTTCAAGATCCAGCAATAAATCAGGCTCTTCAAAATCATTTTCCTGCCAAATCCTGCTTAAATGTAACTGCCCAACCATCACAGAACTGGTCTTTTTTCTGAGTAAGCACCAGACAATGTAACTGCGTTTAGTCAGTGTAGTACAGAATCTTCAGCCCAGACTAACACTGAAAAGGAAGGAGGAGAAAATGAAAAGGTGAACTGCTGCTGCCAGAGATGATATGGAAGAGGTGGGACAGAGATAGCTACTCAAGGAGCAGACCAGAAGAAATGTGTCTTCCTGGAGCACTTCCCATTTACAATGGCACGTGTAGCCCGCCACTGTGCTTAACTGAAGCAATACTGCTCTCAGATTGCCAGACAGGGGCAAATCTTTCCTGCTCTTCAGCTACATATATGAAACTAAGGATAAAAGAAAGCACCTGTAACCCTGTGTCTGAAATACTGAAGGGTCCTGGCTAATCACTCATCAGCTCTGGGAAAGGGAAGATGCTGGCACTGAATGGAGGGAACGTTTGGCACTGTGGTGCCATGTTCTGCTTCCCTGCCCGGCTGGCCCGTGCTCCATGTTAAGCATGTGTCCCTTATCAGGCAGCAGCACTGTCCTTGCTGCACTGGAACAGAACAACCCCAAATCTCCCCTCTGGAAGCCCCCCCCACCCTGGAGCTGCAGGGCCATGCAGATGGCTCGCAGAGAGAAAGCAATGATGGCAAAAACCAGGGAGATGCTCAGCACAGCAGCAGGAGCCTCTGTGCGACTCCAGGTCTAAGCTGTCACAAAAGAAATCTGAACTTAACCATCAAGAAGATGGCTGACTGACACTGGACAGAGGCAGGCACCCTTCTTTTGCAGGTTTTATTTCAAGTCAAAAGAATGAGATGCAAACCCAAGGTATATAACCTGTAGTACATAAGAGAGCCAAGCAGTCACTTAAAAATACTAAAGTATGAACTTAAAATCCACTTTTCTCACTGGTGACTTTAAATAATATCTGTCAGAGAGACTCAAGGGTCATTTGCAAGAAATTTTATGCTCATGGTATCTTTGACCTGGATACTTCTTTGGGATGCACAGGCCAGGGAGCACAATCCAACGCCTCATGTAACTTCTAAAGGTTTGAGGAACACAGGCAAAGGAAGAGTGAAAGAAAGCTTTGAAAGCTTCTTACCTTGTGTCCATTGTGCTGTGACTTCTCTGCCACCAGAAGCCTGACAATCGCATCCCATCTGCCCAGGGTCTGTGGATCCCATGCGGTCACCATCAGGATCCGCTGCTTCAAGGGCATTTGCACCTGGTGGGCAGCATACATGGTCCCATCCGCCCTCACCTTGAAGTCCAGGCTGTTGGTTTCATACTGAACTCCCTTGTTACCAGCACAGTTATTAAATTTTACTAGAACAGAGAGTAAGAGATGGAAGAAACGTGTGAGATTGGCGTGATAAGGAAAGCAATCAAATACAAGTTTCAGACATTTAATTTTCACTGATGTCTTCTATATCTCTAATAACCATCAAGGAAATGATTTAACTGTTTCTTCGACCTTTCAGAAGCGCTCTTGTGCTTTATCTCCATTCCCCAGGGAAGAAGTTGTAAGCCATTTTTAAAGTATTTGATACAGTTTCATTAGGTCTCAAACACAGCTGTTCCCCATTTCTACAAGTGGATTTCTCCCTTGCTGCCATTATCTTTTAAATTCGACTGGAGTCTATTACCCACACTGTGGGTATTTTTTTGCACGGAATGTTCTCCATTTCCCTAACCCTTCAATAACCTACTTACCAGATAGCCTATTTGTACATTCTTAACTGAAATTCAAAAGCCCATAACAATTCCATTATCAGAAATATAAAACCAAAAGGAAAATTAAATAAAGAAAAAAATTAAAATAGTTTTGCAGAATGCATCTGCTGTTGGAACCAGCACCCCCCCCCAGGCTACAGATACAATCCCTCCTTAGGCAACCCCTCCACACCTTACAGCTATGGCAAAGAGGAACCATAAAACTTTGCTTCACAAACCACAATGTGTCATTTAAAAGCCTCCACTTGTCAGATCAAAGCTCCCCAGCTGCTGGTATTTTCGGTGATTTTTTGGTCAAATTCTTTCACAGCCTGGTTTGAAAACTGTTTTTATTGGCATTATGAAACATGTCACATACATTAGGCTGAAAAAAGCTACTATATGACAAAATTGACAAATCTGATGGAAATGGAACCTGCAGCTAATCACACAGGAAACAAAACACTTTCTGCCATTGGAGTAATACACGGGGTGGAACACACATGTGGTGAAGGAAAACATATTGTGCCCGTAAAAACCTCTCAAGAGAGTGAGAATGGATATATAGCTTTCCAGCTTGGATTGCTACTGGGGCTCTCATGCTGTGGCTTCTGAGTGCTCAGCAGTGATGCCTCCCAGCCTGCCCCAAGATAAGGAAAACCTGCTGGCCCAGGGCTGATGCTTAATTTTTGCACAAGACAAACTAAGTCAGATGAATCCTACCTAGACTGGCTGTGGTGGGAGGAGAAGGGATGCAGTGGCAATCCAGGAGAGTGTTGCTCCTGAGTCAGCTTAACCCCAACCGGCCCCCTTTCCCATACCACAGCTGACTGCTTCTGCAGCACTGCTTTGAGCCCAATCAGGGAATAACCTGGATTTGAGTAAAAATACCCAAGGGATGGCACAGGCAAAAGGAAAAAGCAGCCAGGAAACTGCTCAACCCGTCTTCCTGCTAAATCTTCCCGTGCCATCGCAATACGGAGAAATGAGGAGCATCAATAACTATGATCATATCATAAGCATACATCTTACAAAGGCTTTCTATGCTACATATTTATTTAGGGCTCAGGCCCTTCTCAAGGTGCCAGGTGCCATGCAGCATGTGAGCCATCCCACCCAAATCTAGCTGGTGCTGAGGACTCCCAGCCAAGGCTCTGGCCTTGAGGTCAACCAGCACACAACAGCTCACCTCCTGACAGCCAAAATTTCTTATTTCCCCAAATGAGCTTTCACTTGCCAAAGGGCTCCTGGGGTCAATGCTAACTCCGAAACTCTGTGGTGCCACCATCAATACAACCATGTGGGCAATCCCACAAGCCAGTTCTCAGACCCAAGCCAGGCCCTGCTTGCTTTAACATTGAGGACACAGTTTTTAGGCTAGTCCAAAAAATAAAGACTCATGAAAGCACTGAATGAGGTTAAACACACACATGGTTTGGTGGCACCTACAAGAACCAACGCTGCATACCCAGAGAAACCAGGATTGCCTCAGAGACCCACGGGGTGGCTGGTGCTGCTAATGGAGAAACCCCACACCCCCAGCCACCACCCTACTGTGAGACCTTCATCTCTCAGGAACTTCTGTGAATCTCCTCTGCGTTCACAGCTACAATAAATGTGTGTGAGCACATCAAGTGCTTTGCTGCTAATACATTATTTATTTTCAGCTCCACACCATAGAATCACAGAATGGTTTGGGTTGGAAAGGATCTTAAGATCATCCAGTTCCAACTCCCTGCCATGGGCAGGGATGCCTCTCTACACCATGTCATCCAAGTCCCCGTCCAACCCAGCCTTGAACACTGCCAGAGATGTTAGAAAGAACATCGCATGGTGTGTTATTGCACTCCTCTGCTGTGTAATGGCAATTTAAAAAGCAAGTTCCATTTATACCTCCAGCAGTACCCAAAGATCACATACAAAGAGATATCTGAAGAAAGGCGTGATAATGATTGCACATTAAAAACAATTCAGAGCTTACTTTGATTTTACCGAGATTAAAAGAAAGCCCTACAGTGTACTAGTAGTCTGAGAGGGAAAAAAAAAAGAATAAATCCCTTCCTATAAGTGTATGTAGTGATTTCAGTATTCAAAGTACTTAAACATCTGCTTCAGACACAGCACGTGGCGCCAATATGCTGCTCTGGTGTCATATGTCACTGTGTCGACTTTTATGCTCCATTATCTAAAAATGGCTACCTCTCAGACAAAGTCCCTCTGTGACTCGCTAATTACTTCCATTAGTTTAAAACAAACTTGACTGGAGACAGAGAAAATCCTGAGAGGAATTGTCTGAGTTTTTAAAACAAGCACCGTCTCTGCTGCACACTGCTCTGCACAGGTAGCACAGGTGGAGGGATGCTCAGCAATGAATTAACACAGCCAGCATCTCTTTGAAGAGTCCTTAGGAGCTGCAGGCACAAAAAAGCTTCAAGGACATAGGGAGTCCACAGCGTTTCCTTCCTGAACAGCAGCAACAGGCCATGGGTCACTAGAGTGGCTTTGCAGAAGATGTCAACCACACAGGGGAAATGATCCAGAAACTCATCAGGGCTGAAGTTTAAAGATCACCACGCTCACGGCTGTCAGGTGGAGCTGGTGCTGTAGGCACTGTTTGTACACAGCATAGAAAACACATCTGTAACACAGTATAGCTGAACTGTTCACACTCATCACATGGCTGCAAGGACTCTCATTAGGAAACCAGTCAGTGCTCATCCTCCTTGCTGTACTCTGAAAATGAGTCCTTGGGATGTTGTGTAACTACTGAGGTGCACTGCTGTATATATATATATGTCTATATGTACATACACACATCATATATATGTACATAATAAATATATCTTTGGAAAAATATCACATATATATGAGTACAGGTTTGGGGAAAAAAAATCAAGCTATTGTTCTATAATAAATAACATAGCTCAAGGAAAAGAGATCTCTGTACTTTCAAATTCCACCTCTTACCTCTACTCTTTGCTCTCATGGAAACAGAAATTAAATTTTCACTGAGTGGCAGAAAACTTTCTCTTTTCCTTTTTCTCCTTTGGAAAGCTCCAAGTCTGCGTAATTTGCAGCTGATACAACTCCTGACTTTAAAATAATTTAATAAATAAGCAAACAAATATTGGCTCTGTTTCCTAGACTTAGAACTCTCTGTGGACACAAATCCATCTTTCTTTGACCAGCCTGAAGTCTAAAGAACACTGCATGAATTTAACATTCAAAAGCTGCAGCATCAGTAATTAGGGTTTCAGATAAACAGTGGAGCCACGCATCTATCATTTCTGCAGGATGGTAAAAACCCCACTTTTTTTTTAACATGTGCTGGAAAAATGTTCAGTGATGCTTATCTAAAGCTTACGCTGAAAACAGCATCAAATGCCTGATGAAAAGAAAACCAAGAAGGCACCCTCATTAGCGGGCTTTTAGGTTTAACCCTTTACCCTCATCATTTTTAATTGCTTCGCTATCAAAGCAGGAAGTAAGACAAAATGATATGTTGAAACAGGTATTGAGTGATGGGTGGAAAAGCTGCAGGAGTCTGCAGCAAACTGCTGGGCATCTGAGGGGAAAAAAATGGTGCTTTTCTTCATTCTTCAAAAAAGACACAGGGTGGAAAAAAATCCAACAAGTTTTGCATTGTTCCCTTTTATTATTTAGCTTGTTCAGCTAGCTGGACAGAGTCAAATGATCAAGCAAGGATCTTGAAAGATGTGTGAATACACTGAACTTCCTTGCCCCCCAAATGTCTGAGACATATATTGAATTTAATAGTACTATAAATGGTATAAACCACAGAATTCGCTTTAAGCCTTACCCTTCTGGATTCTCCTTTAACTTCTCCTAGTCCATTAAAAAGTGCTCCCTCTGGCAAGCTGCACAGGGCCAGAAAAGCAGGAGGGATAATACTTATTTATTAGGATATACCCCCTGGCGGGACATCATCCCTTGGTTCAGGATATGGGTCCCTTCAGGTCTCAAGTTTTTCACTGTGGTTTTGGGGATTAAAGCTGCAAAGATGTTTCTTTCCCAATGAACTTCAAAGCAGCGAACATTCACCACTCTTTACAGCGGGATCCTATCCGCTTTTCAAGTTGTGTCTCTTGAACAGCTCCCTTCACTCTGGCACGGCTGTGATAAACCTAAGCTGCCAAATCCACCCCTTGCACCACTTCTGTGAACGCCGTTAGGATGAGGTCAGCTTAACTGCAAGCTCTGGAAATTTCAGATGTTTGGGTAACCTGCAGAGTCCTGAGCACGTATGGAAATGTCCCTTTTGTGTGATCTTTAGCAAATCCCTTGTATTCCTGCCCTGGCACTTCTGCCCCAACGCTCCTTATGTCTGCACTCATCCACCTTCACTGGCTTCTGCAGGGGGGTGGCAGTCCTGGCCAGCATTCCCCTGCATGCACCACATCGGAAATCAAAAAACCCAGCTCCTTAGTGGATAGGAACCTGTTGCCTATGCACAGGCACGAAACCACTCGGTTAGCCAAGGGAAGGTACATATACCTGGGCACCCTGTGACTGCATTGGATCGTCCCAAACTAATTCCTCCATTAAGTGATAACGTGAACCAAGATGCGCTTGCCTCATTGGGAAGCTTCATT